TTTGGGTTCTTCTTCTGTTTGCCAGATGACAGGGGATGACAGGAGCCCGTGCCCACGTTTCATAATTCTCTGTGGTCCCCTCAGCCAAGGACAAGTATTATTTCCATTCCCTCCTGTGCTCTCAGCTGGCTCTTAAGCTTGGAGACATGCTGTGTGTGTGTGTGTGTACTTCTACTGGCTTAATATTCATCAAGAAACTTTATAATTAAAATGCAAGTAGTGGATCTGCCAGATGGCTCAGTGGGTAAAATTTCTTGTCCCTCAAACATCATGATAGTCTGAGTTCCATCTTAGGACCCAAATGGTGGCAAGAGAGACCAACACCAGCCTGTTTTCCTCTGCCTTCTCCATATATGTGTATGCACAAGATATATACACACTAATAAACAGATATTTAAAAATGCAAATAGTTTTCCTGTTTCCAACGACAGAATCTGAGATTGTGGAGAATGCACAGCTCTCCCTATAGGTTATTCTGAATGGTTCTCTCTCCTCTTGACACTGTGTGGACCTTTGTGAGGGTACAATGCATCTGGTTAACTAGTTAGCTTTTGAAAACAAGATCAGTTGTCAATATGTCACGGATAGATTCCTCAGATCAGTAAGTGAAGATTTTATTCGTTAGAGAGCACTAAGTACTGGTTGGATGAGGGAAGAGGCTCTGATGTGTTGCTGTCCAACAGCGGGAACAGGAGCTTTGAAGTATCCCCTGTAACAGATGCTGGAGGAGATATAGTTTAAACACTGTGCAATGTCTATATGCACTGAAGCATCTTATGGTGCCCAATAAATAGAGTTTAATTATATCACTAAAAAATGGGGGATGGGGAGAAATGGTTCAGTGGTTAAGAGCACTGGCTCCCTTTACAGAGGACCTGGGTTCTATTCCCAGCTCACAACCATTTGTAACTCCAGTCGCAGGGTATCTGACAGCCTCTTCTGGCCTCCAAGGGCACTACAGGTAAAACACCCATACACATACAATAAAAATTAAAGAAAAAACCAGGAGACGGAGAGACGACCCAGTAGTTTAGAGCACGCACTCCACTTGCAGAAGACCTGAGCTAGATTTTGAGCACCCACACCGGTGGCTTGCAATTCCAGCTCCAGCAGTTCTAACATGCTTTCCTGCCTCCTGGGGCCTCTATAATCATGTGCACACACCCCACTGTGTCCCCCACATACATATACACATATTTAAAACAAAATAAATATTTTAAAAAATGCAAAAGACAGGCATGGTAGTGCATACTTGTAAAGTCAGAACTCATGAAGAATGGGCAGAAGGGTCAAAAATTCAAACCAAGCCTCAGCTGTGGAGGGAGTTTCATGGCAGCCTGGACACATAGTATTAAACACATAAATATTAAAGAATAAGCTATGAAAATGGGCGTTAATCTATCCTAGCACTCAGGAGGCAGAGGAAGGTGGATCTCTGAATTTGAGATTGGCCTGGTCTACAGAGTGAGTTCCAGGTAAGCCAGTGCTACACAGAGAAACCCTGTCACAATAATAAAAATAAAAATGATGATGATGTTATTATATGGCAGTAACTATGCTACTAAATTAGACAATAGCATATTATGTATTATATAATATAAAATAAAATATTGTATAAGTAATTATTAATAAATTATTATTTATTATTGTGTCTGATGTCACACTTCTGTAATCCTGGCTACCAAGAAGACTGAGGCATGAGGATCCCAAGTTGAAGACCATCATGGACCCTGTTCAGGACCCTGTTCCAAAATTAAAAACAAAAAACAACTGTAAAAGGGGCAGAGAATGTAATTGACTCAATAGAAACATTCTTTCCTAGAATCCACCAGTGAGGGGCTGGTGGCATAGCTCAATGGCAGAGTACTTGCCAAGGGTTCTGAAGGCCCTAGGACCAATGTCTAGTACAGAAAATATAGATAGGTATATAGGTAGATAGATAGACAGACAAAAAACTAAGAAACAAACAAACAAATCTAAAAAAACCGATATAAGAAAACCACGTTGCAATGAAGAGACTACTACACGGACTGCAAAGATGGCTCAACAGTTAAGAGTACTGGCTGCTCTTCCAGAGGACCCAGGTTCAACTCCCAGCACCCACATGACAGCTCATTACTGTAACTCCAGGAGATCTGACACCCTGACACAGAGATATATGGAAGCAAAACACCAATGTGTTTAAAATTTTTAAAAAATCATAATAAAAAAAGAAATAATTCCAGGCAGTGGTGGGCACTATCTTTAATCCCAGCATTCAGGAGGTAGAGGCACCCTGATCTCTGTGAGTTAGAGGCCAGCCTGGCCAGTTTCAGGACACCCAGGACTGTTACACAGAGACGCTTATTTTGAAAAAGAAACAAACAAACAAACAAACAAACAGAGATCATCCCACATTAAGAACAACTTCATATGTTTCAGATCTGTAATAACAAAATGCTTTGTAAGACTTTTTTCTAAATCATGAAAAATCAGACTGGGATTAAAGGTTTTCTTCACCATCAACTACCAGAAAATGAGACTGGGCTTTTTTGTTTTGTGGATGTTCAGGCCGATCTCAAACTCAGAGATCCACCTTCCTCTGCCTCCTGAGCGCTAGGATTGAAGGTGTGTGCCACCAACGCCCATTTTCATAGCTTATTCTTTAATATTTATGTGTTTGAGACATGTTCACGTGTAGTCCAGACTGGCATGAAACTCCCTACACAGCTGAGACTTGGTTTGAATTTTTAACCCTTCTGCCCTTTCTTCCCGAGTTCTGGCTTCACAGGTATGCACTACCATGCCTGTCTTATGCATTTTTAAAAATATTTATTTTGTTTTAAATGTGTATATAAATATTTTTTTTTTAATTTGGAACAAAAAAAGGCAGGTAAGTTTAGCTTCACACTATTTTCACAAAACTTAACCTGATTCCAAAAAGATATCTCTTTACTGGTTTACCAGCTAGAAAAGCAGCTAGTTCCCTTGGGCTGGAGAGTTGACTCGGCATTTAATAGCGTGTGTTGGTCTTGTGGAGAATGCAGGTTTCCAGCGCCCACATGGTGGTTAATGGTTATCTATGACTGCAGATCCTGGAGCTCTGATGCTTTCATACGACCAACACAGATACCAGGTGCTTCCGTGGTGCAGAATAAACAGAAAATAAAATAAAATAGATGTAAAAAAAATTAAAAGGAAAAGAGATCTAGTATAGCAAGCTCTAGATAAAGCACAACCCGTTTGCCCCACAGGTTAGAGAGGACCCTTTGCTGCCATCTGCTGTACATTTTCCAAAATAGCCACACATAGTCAAAAAAAAAAATGGCCAGATGTCTTGGCTCAAATTAAGAGACTAAACCAAGAAGATGGTGGTAAGTTCAAGACCAGCCTGGAAAAGAAGACGAAATTCTGCCTCGAAAGAATCTTTTTAAGCTCCATAAAGTGAGTGTGATGGCTCAAGCTTGTAATCACAGAACTAAGAGGGAAGCAGGAGGGGCTGGAGAGATGGCTCAGGGGCTGCTCTTTCAGAGGACCCAGGTTCAATACCTGTGACCCAAAAGGCAGCTCACAATTGTCCGTAACTCCTGCTCCAGGTGATCTGAAACCCTCATACAGAAATACCCAAAACACGAATGCACATAAAATAGAAATGTTTTTAAAAAGACAGAGGCAGGAAGTTAGCTCATGACCGTCCTGGGTTATACAGTTCCAGGAGCAGGCAATAGTACACATCAAGATCTTTAATCTTTTAAAAAAAACATATTTTTGATAGTGCTTAACTAGTATGCAGAAGCCCTGAATTCAATCTCCAGCACTACATAAAACTGGGTGTAGGGGTGCACACCTGCAATATACTCCCCCCCACCCCCGGAATTGGGGAAAGGCAGGATTAGGAATTCAAGATCATCCTGGCTAAAAGACTGTGACCATGTCCTGGGACCATGTTCCTAAATTAACTTTATAGGGCATCTACCTGCACCAAGCATGACAACCTGAATTCAATCCCAGGGACCCACAATAACCAAGGAGTAAACCAACTCTCACAAGTTTCCCTCTGACCTGCACATACATGACATGCCACACAGACCCATGCACACAAGTAGGGAAAGGGGTTTCCATGTTTGGCTCTTGATTGTGTCAATGAAAAAGGTAGAAGCCAATTGCTGGGCAAAGGGAAAAAGCTGGGGCTTCTGGGTCCCAGGAGAAAAAAGGACTTGAGGGGAGTTTGATTGCCGAAAAGTGTGAAGGAGGAGAAAGCAGGAAGGCTGGGTGGGTTACTGGCAGCTTGGTGAAGCTAGCCTTGAGGGGCTACTGCAGTGTGGACAGCAACTCCTGAATTCCCCTAGTTGGGGGTCGTGATCCAGTTGGAGCTAGGGGAACCTGGAGGTCATAGCTAAGGCTGAGGTACCAGGCAAAGAGATAGTATGATTTTTTTTATTTAAGATTTTTATTTATTGTATGTATGAATACACTTTGACTGTCCTCAGACACACCAGAAGGCATTAGATCCCATTGTAGATGACTGTGAGTCACCATGTGGTTGCTGGAAATTGAACCCAGGACCTCTGGAAGATCTTAACCACTGAGTTATAGGGTGTTTTTAAATTACAGGAAACACAAACACAGAATATGAGCTCTGACACCTTTAATCCCATCGCTCCAGAAGCAGACAGGAGGATCTCTGATCTAGAAAGCAGACGGGTCGCCATAGTGAGCTTCAGGATAGACAGGGCTACAGAGAAAGACCCTGTCTCTAAGTAAATAAGCAAATCGACGAACAGATGAATAACTTAAAGAAAATTTAATTTTAAAACATTTAATTTAAAATTAGTATATATGTTCTAATCTTATCTCAAACAAATGAAAACCCACAGGGCATAGTGAAAGAGACCACAAATGAACACTCTATACAATGACCATGAAGGGATGACACCTCATCCACTAGGGGCAACCCAGCATCCATTTCTCTGGGAAAAGATTTCAATCTCAGTCTTTCCAGGAAAAAACTGGATCCAGAGTCACCCAGACCCGTTTCTGTTGTGGGTTTTCATATGTCTCTTCAAAGTCCCCTGCTGTCGGAAATGCTTGTCACACTTCTTACAGCTGTAGGGTTTCACGTCGTCGAGATGGATGCGGAAATGCACAGTGAGGCTGCCCTTGTGGCCGAAGCGTTCCCCACAAATCTGACACATATAAGGCCTCTCATCTGTGTGAACCCGTCTGTGGCCCTGCAGGGTGGACCAGTGGGCGAACTTCTTTCCAGACTGCACAGGTGTAGGCTTCTCTCATACTGCGCAACAATGTCTAAGCATGGAATATGGTCAGTGTGTCCAACCCAACAACATACCAAACATCTCCAAACTCCCGACATCTAGCTCCTTCTCTCAAATCATCGAGAAATAATGACATGCATTCACCTGGCTGGTGGATGGCTCTTCCATTTCTGAGAGGTTCTGTAGCTCTGGGCTCTGCTGCTTCAGGCTGGCCTGGCCTCTGTTGAGAGACTCCGTCGTCCTACTTGATAGGTGCTCTTGGGACAAATCAATAGGATCCCATGTCTCCTCTGGGGCTTCATCCTTCCCAACACTGGGATCCCGAAGGAGGCATGCCTGTCCTTGGTAGTCGATTATGGACTGTGGGGAGAAAGGGAGTTGGGGTGAGACCTGGAGTAAGAGCCTGGATCTAGTTCTCCCAGCAAGCACTCTTGCTTCTGTTCCAACTTAGCAGCCCAGCGTAGAATGTTTGCAAATCTGTCTTTCTGAGCATGGATTGGTCCACAAGGTCACTCAGCTACAGTATGAGTTGGGGACCAACCTGGGCTACATAAGACCCTGTTTCAATGACAAAGAATCTGGGGCAGAAAGGTTGGAAAGAGGGCTCAGTGATTATGAGTACTGCTCTTTGTTCACTGACTGTTCAAGGTCACACACCTGCACCAACAGAGTGGCTCCTAACTGTAACTCCAGTTCCAAGGGGACCTGATGTCCTCCTCTGGCCTCAAGGGCATCATGAGTGCAAAGAAAACATACAGATTAAAACAACAGCACAACAACCACAGCAACAAAGGGACTGGAGAGTTAGCTCAGAGAGTAGGAGCACAGGCTGCTTTCCCAGAGCACCCAGGTTCAATTCCCAGCACCCACAGGCAGCTCAAAATTGTAGTTCCAGTTGCAGGGCACTGGTACTCACCCAGACATGCAGGGAAAACACATGAATATATAAAGCACATAAAATAAACAATAAATTAGAAAATAAAAAAATGGTTTCTGTCCCCTGACTCAATGAGCTGGTGATTGTTCTGTTAGCTTGCACTATTTCTGATCTGGACACCCCCTTGGCTTCTAAATGAAGTTTCTATCTAACCTTCACAAAGACAAACAAGTCCGTAAAAGTCCCGAGAAGCTGTCATTTATCTCTTGGGAAGCAACCCTTTCCCCTTGAGAGCCACTCATTAAGGGAAAGAGTCTCGCCAGGCGGTGGTGGCACACGCTTTTAATCCCAGCACTTGGGAGGCAGAGGCAGGCGAATTTCTGAGTTCAAGGACAGACTGGTCTACAGAGTGAGTTCCAGGATAGCCAGGGCTACACTGAGAAACCCTGTCTCGAAAAACAAAAAAAAAAAAAAAAAAAAAAGGCGGGGGAAAGAGTCTGTGCCAGTCCTGCTCCCAGGTCACCAAGCCCCCACAGCGGTCTTTCCCAGAGTGCACAGCGTAGACTCTGCTTACCGACTTGTGGGATCTCCTTTCCCTCAGCATCTCTTCCAGGTCTTTGCAGCTCTTCACTCCGCTCTCCTTCACTAAGGTTTCAAACTTTGATGGCATGCAGTTTAGGAACTGCTCCAACACCAGTTGATCCAGGATCTCCTCCTTGCTGTTGAGGTCGGGCCTGAGCCACTGATGGCATAAGTCAGAGATCTTCCTCAGGTTCTGGATCGGGTCAGACCCTTCCAGTGGTTTGTAATCTCGGAACTTCTTGTACCAAAACTCGGGATTGTAGTTTTCCTTTTCTCCATGTTTTACCTGAGATGTCAGGGATAGTGGCTGCCCTGACCTGACAAGGCTGTCTGATGGCACATTCATTGCCATATCTGTGGTGAATATTTCCCTTGGTCTAGGAAAAGTTTGAAGTGACTCCTGTGTAAACCAGCCTACCCGTTTGGCCTCAGAGATAGGCTTGATGTTGGGTCAGACTCCTGGGAAGGCAAGAAGGAAGTAGATTAGTTTTATTCTGTTGCCTTCTAGATATCATTTCTCAGAACATATCCTCCCGCAAACAGTTGTGGACATTCCCACTGTTAAAAACACACAAAATTGCTGCTGGTTGTCTTGGCACCCTCCCTTAATCCGGGATGCTTGTGAGGCAGAGGCAGTTAGATGCATGTTTGTTCAGACCAGCCTGGTCTACAGGGAATGAGTTCCAAGACAGCCAGAGCTACACAGAGAATCCAGTCTCAACAAAACAGAAAAAGGAAAGTTTTAATGAAAAAATTGATAGTTATAAAAAATAGATCTAAATTACTTTGCAAGTATAGCTTAAAACTTGGTACTTGTTTGAAAATTTAACACAAAAGGATAATAGAAAAACATTTATATTTCATAACAAAATAATTACAACTTAAAATACCAGCTGTATAAATGAAATTAGAATTATAAGAGACTCTAAAACAAACCAAGAAACTAAAAAACACCGGGGTGGCTCACACCTCCAGGCCAGGATTACTGAGGAAGATGAGGTCATGGTCTCTATATAGACCAGGCTGGCCTTGAACTCAGAGACCTGGATGTCTTTAACTTCCAAGAGCTGAGATTAAAGGCATGTGTCACTATTCCTGGCAAAACAATAATAACTTTAAATAGTATGTGTATACATTTTGTACACATTTTAAATTTTTATGTATACATCATATATATATATATATTTACCTCTGTGCCTAGTACCCAGGGCCTTAGAGAGCCTGAGAGTTGTAGGCAATTATGAGCCTCATTGTGGCTGCTAGAAATTTAATCTGAGCTCACTAGAAGAGCAGCCAGTGCTCTTAACTGCTGAGCTATCTCTACAGAAAAATAAACTTTATAAGACAACATTTCTGGGTTGCTCTGCTTGGTCTCAAACTCAGAGACCTTCCAGTCTGAGTGAACAGTGCCAGGTCTAACCTTTTTATTTTATTAATTAAGATAATGAAGTAAACTGTAGCAAATTGCAGACATAGTGGTGTGTGCCTTGAATTCCAGAACTGCAGAGGCAGAGGCAGGTAGATCTGTGTGTTCTAGTCAGACCGGGGTTACACAGAAAAATGAAATACCATGTCTCTGTCAGAGAGAGAGGCGGGGGGAGAGAGAGGGAGAAAGGGGTGAGAGGAAAGGAGGGAGGGAGGCAGTGGGTGAGAAGATTTCAAGATTGTAGATATATCTAAGTTGGTAGGGTACTTGCCTTGAATCTGTTATAGCCCTGCTACTCAAAAATAAATTAAAAAAAAAAAGAAAAAATCGACAAATAAACCCAAAAAACCCAACACACGTCATCCTCTACCCACATATATGGTGTTAAAAATCTAATACATTTAAATGTTTCAGGAATTTGTGTTTATTTCTTTTTACTCTGTAGCTTTGACTGTCCTGGAATTCCCTCTGTAGATCAGGCTGGCTTCCAACACAATGATCCACTTATCTCTGCCTCCTTAGTGCAAGGGGTTAAAAGAGTGTGCCACCAACACAGCTAGAAATTAGATTTTAACCAAGAACTAGTGTCATCATTGATTTGAACTTGTTCCTAAATGGTTTCAGGTTTTTGTCTTTATTGTTAGTTTTGAGATACGGTTGGGTTGAATAGCCCAGGCTAGCTTAAAACTCATCCCATTGTAGGGTTTTACCATAAACTTTATAGCAATCCTCTGCTTCATCTACCTTCTGAGAGCTGGGATTCCAGGTAAGCCTCTCCACAATGGACTCTGGTATTCTTAATGTCCAAGGCTTGCTGTAATTATGTTAATTTAAAATAATGCCTGAGGATTCCCACTTCTGCTTCTAGCTCTGGAAGCTAAGGCAGGAGGACGGAGTTCCAGAATAGCATGGGTTCTAGAACTAGACTACCTCATGAGGAAAGTAAAATAAAAGGAAAATTCAAACATGCAACCACGTGACCCCACAACCCAGCATAGAGATAGAGATCTGAGCAAAATAGAATCTACTCTTGGAGTCTGACACAGCAACACGATTGTCACCAGGAGCTGAGTTCCAATGAAGAAAGATGCTCATCAAAAAGGACACAGTAGGAGTTCAAGGGACCTGGGAGTTCTTTCTGTTTGTTGAGAATGCACCTCCACATGCTGCCTCCTCTGGTTGGAACTCACCATCCTCCTGCCTCAGGGCCATACTGCCTAGCTAAAGGTACCTTGAGCAAGTTAACGCTTGAGGGAGCCTCCGTTGTGTCCGCATCAGAACACACAGCTTTGCTAGTTTGCCTTCCTCCTTGGTGAACTTACCTCGCTTGTCCTGTCTTCGAGTATGCAGTTGCCTGTCTTCCCAGGTCTGTCTTCACAGTGCTGGTTCTCTGCGAAATGCTGGGAGCCACAGAGCCATAGCTTATATAGGGAGGATCAGAATTGTCTTCCGCTTACTAGTCTGCTCAGAGAGTGCCTCAAGCCCTTTAGACGCCATTTCAGATCTCATTTTAGAAACCCAGAGGATAGATTTATGGTGGGACTGTCGGTGGGAGGGGATAAACTGATTAACTTACCAGGGTGTGGTCATGATATCAGCTACTGGGGAGGCTGAGCCCTAAGGATTGTCAATTCAAGGCTTGCCTGGGTTTCTGATTGAGTGTAAGGCTGGTTTAGGGAATTCAAAGAGATGAAATCTCATACCTTTAAAAAATGAATACATGCTGGGCAGTGGTGGCACATGCCTTTAATCCCAGCACTTGGGAGGCAGAGGCAGGCGGATTTCTGAGTTCAAGGCCAGCCTGGTCTACAGAGTGAGTTCCAGGACAGCCAGGGCTACACAGAGAAACCCTGTCTGGAAAAACAAACAAAAAACAAAACAACAACAACAAAAAAGAATAAATAAACAAACAATTTTGTCTGCCTCGGCTGGGGATACACTTCAGATGTCAGGGTGTAAGACTTAGCACGCAAGGAGCTTGAGAGGGTCCGTTTTTAGCATTGTATAAAACCGGGTGTGGTGACACACACCTGTAATCTCAGGTAGGAGGATCAGAAGTTTAAAGTCATTTTTAGCTATAAAGGAAGTTTGGAGCCAGCCTGGCCTACATCACATCGTTTCTAAAAGAATAAATGAGGCCTTGAGATACTGAGGGTGTGTCTCAGAGATAAAGCCTTTGCCAAGAGTTTGCAAAGCCTTACAGAGTTCAATCTCTGGGACAACTTAGGGTGAGGAACAGGGGAGGATATGAAAAGAAATGGTATATGGACATGTATGAAATTTCTTTAAGAAGTTAATAAAATTATGTTTTAAAGATAAATAATTTAATTGGACAGTTGTGGGGCATGCCTTTTATGTCATCACTCAGGAGGCAGAAATTGGCAGATGTCTGTGAACCTCAAGGCATCCTGGTCTACAGAGCAAGTAGCAGGACAGTCAGGGCTACATAAACAGACCCTGTTCCCAAAAACAATAAAGAGTGAAAAATAATAATAAATAAAATCAATGAGTAGGCATGTCTAGCTCTCTGGTCATGGAATAGGTCTGCATGCCCTGCCATGATAGTGGAGTCAATTTATGAAGACTGAGCAAACTCCAGTTAAAAGCTTTCTTCTGTAGGAGTTGTCTTGGTCATGTGTCTCTTCACAGCATTCAACACTGAGACTCTTGCCTTTGTTGTTTGTGTGTTATTGGTTTTGGTTTGGGGTTTGGGTTTTTTTGGTTGCTTGGTTTTTGGAAACACTGTCTCTGTATGTGGCCCTTGCTGTCCTGGAACTCTGTTATCCAGGCTGATCTTGAACTCAGAAAACTGCCTACCTCTACCGCTGGAATGTTGGGATTAAAGGTGTGTGCAGCTACTCTCCAGCTTTGCCAATATTTTTTGTTTTGTTTTGTTTTTTGTTTCTGCTTGCTTGTTAAGTATGGCTTTGTTTTCCTATAAATATGTCCTTAAGCGTTTTATTTAGGAATGAATGTGTCTTTTAAATTTTCATTACACTCTGTTTCTTTTTTTTTATTGGATGTTTTATTTACATTTCATATGTTATCCCCTTACCCCATCCCCAACCCCTCCTCCTGCTTCTCTGTCAATGTACCCCAACCTCCCCACTCCACTCCCACCTCCCCACCCTCAAACTCCCCCACCCCTGGGGCATCCAGCCTTCATGAGACCAAGGATCTCTTCTTCCACCTATGCCTAGCAGTGCCCTCCACCCTTCCATATACAGCTGAAGCCATGGATCCCTCCCTATGTGCTCCCAGGCTGATGGTTTAGACCCTGGAGCTCTGGTTGGTTGGTATTGCTGCTCTCCTCATGCGGTCGCAAACCCTTTCAGCTCCTACAGTCTTCACTCTGACTCCTCCATTGGGAACCCCATGATCAGTTCAATGGTTAGGTGTGAGCATCTGCCTCTGAATATGTCAGACTCTTGCAGACCTCTGAGGAGACATCTATATCAGGCTCTTATCAGCATGCACTTCCTGACTTCCACATCAGCATCTACCTTTGGTGACTGCACACGGGATGGATACTCAGGTGGAATGGTCTTCAGACGGCCCCTCCCTCAGTTTCTGTCCTGAGTGAGGTAACCCAATCACAAAAGAACACACATGGTATGTACTCACTGATAATTGGATATTAGCCCAAAAGCTCATAATACCCAAGATACAACTCACAAACCACGTGACACTCATGAAGAAGGAAGACCAAAGTGTGGGTGCTTCTTAGAAGGAATAACAAAATACTCATGGGAGCAAATATGGAGAAAAAGCTTTGGACAGAAACGGAAGGAGGGGCCATCCTGATACTGTTTCACCTGGGTATCCAATCCATCCTTTGTGAAGTCACCAAAGGTAGACACTGATGTGGATGCCAGGAAGTGCATGCTGACAGGAGCCTGATATAACTGTCTCCTCCGAGGTCTGCC